CTTTCTTCAAGGTTCAAAATGGAGTCCCAGCCGGCTGCCCTCAGGCTCCGCTGCTGGCTAAGGTTGTTTTGGCACCAGCACTCCAACCCTGGAAGGCCCAACACCCAGGAGTACATCTCTCCAGTTGGGTCGATGACATAGGCTTTGACACAGCAGCCAGAACACCAACCGCTGTCGCTCAGCAGGCAGTAGCTGCCTACCGAGACCTCCACCAGCGGCTTCAAGCCATTGGCCTCAAGGTCAATCCACAAAAAACGGCCTTCATTGCCACTGATCGTGCCACTGACAAGGCATTGAAAGACATCCTCCAGGAAGGAGAACCACCCGTGCAAACAGTCATGAGAGACCTTGGAGTTGACCACCAAGCAGCACGGAGACGTAGAATTCCAGTCATGAAGCAACGACTGAACAAAGCCAGGAACAGAAAGCTTAAACTAAGAGCCCTGAAAATCCCAGCCTTGAAAATTCGTTTGAGGCTCCATCGAGGAGGCATTCAGCCAGCTGCATTGTGGGGCATTGAAGGCCAAGGCCTTGCACCCAGGCACCGAACCACCCTGCGACAGGCCATGGGCGCGCATCTGGGCCATCACAAAGGCGGGCTCCTTGACAGCACCTATGATCTCCACGCCAAGCGCTACATAGACCCGGGAGACCAAATCGTCATTCACCACATCAAGGCCATCCATCAGCTCCTGCAGGCCTGGCCACCGGACCAACTCCCAGCCCTTGAACAGGCATGGACAGCCACCTACAACCAGCTACAGACGAAGGACCATCCCTGGTACACTGTCCGCGGACCCATGGCTGCCACCATCACCTACCTGCAAGAATGGGGATGGCAGGCTTCCACCCTCCTGAGGTGGACAAGGCAGGAAACGGCTTTCCTCCAGGCCCATGAACTCAGTCTGCACCAGCCCTGGTGGCAACTAGAACGGGCCCTACTCCAGGAAGCCAAGCAGCAGCGCATTAGCAGGATTGCCAGCAGGCCCCATCACCAGCACCTCCTCACCGGCATTGACTGGCACACCTATCATCGGATCAGGAAGTCATTGCCTCAGCGACACAAGCAACATCTCAACACGTGGGTCCAGGCAGCGGTACAATTCCGTGAGGCGGCTCAAGTCAAAACTTGTCCGCTGTGCAACACCCCCGCCACACACAAGCACATTTTGTGGCTTTGTAAGTGGCACAAGCAGCAGAAGCACGAACCCATGCCACCAGAATGGATGAACCGCATCACCAGCCATGAGGAAGATCCATTATGGACGGCAGGCTGGATTCCATTAGAACCACAAGATCACCGCCAGCAAGCACATCCATTCCATGGCCATGGGTGCTGGGCAGGCTTGGAACCTATTGCACCACAACAGCACAACAGCTGGGCTTTCACCCTTGATGCCACACCCTCAACCTATGACGACCGTGATCAAATGTGGGTCTTCGGCCTTTGTGTGCACACCATGAACCTTGGACAACTGCAGCGCCTTGGAGCCCTCACGGGGGTGGCAAGTGGTGAGCAAACCAAAACCAGGGCTTTGATCGCAGGTGTTGTGGCCTTGGCCAAGTTCACCACCACACCGGTTCGGGTCATCGTGCAGCTTACCACGGTATGGGAGGCTTGGCACCAACCACGCAGCAGGCCACCATACCAGGATCTCATGGCAGAGATCACAGAGCAAGACCTAGCACGCATCACAGTCCTGTACGTCTCAAGGAACACAAGAACCCCAGAAGCTCCTGGCAATGAACCGCAGCTCAGGAGGAGACAAAGAGACTGTGCATTAGCAGCCTGGGAACGAGCCCGCACCTTTCAAGATCACCGACAAACAGAATGGCAAGCCACTCTTGACGCAGATCATCATTTGATCTACACCCATGCCGTCCAGCGGCTGAGCAAGATCTACGACGACCCGGAACACTACATTCATCAAAAAGCACCCCGGCACCAAGGGAAAATGACCAAAGACTTCAAACGAGACTTGGTCAACAGGTGCACCAAGCCATGGGTCGAACCTACATCGCAGTGGTTTTCAACGCATGGCCTGTGGCACCAGGATGCATCAAGGCCTCACCAAGCAAATCCTGGAACTGCGGCTACAAGAAGACTGCCCACAACTCCTACTTGAGGAAGCATGCCAACCCTCCATGGCACCAACGGCACTTCCTGTCAAGAAGACCACGCGGGCACAGGTCATCAAGGACCTGCTCGCACAGCAGCATCAGACACCTCCGAGCCCCCAGGAGCATCAATATGGAGAAACCGCCGGCTATCTCAAATGCCTGAAGTGCGGCCTCAACATCCACAAACGAGTCAATGAAGAAGCATTTCAACTCTACATTGCCAGCCCATGCGTTGACCAAGCCTACACTGGTCAACATCCAGGGCACCACAGCCACGCACTTTGGCAGAAAGGGGACCGTCTTCGATGCACTCAATGTGGCACCCAGACCAACCTTGATGGCGAGAAAAGAGTCATCTCCACACAAGCTCTCCTCCGGCCTTGCAAGGGAGCTGGAATAAAAACATCCCCGCCTCTCAGTGACTACTTCAAAAAGAAGCCCAACGGCGGTGGCACTCCCGACACTGACAGTCACACGCAGGCTACCAGCACACCAGAAGAAGGCATTTTGCCTCCACCACAGGCCAACAACCCAGGCGGCAGCACATCGGGCCCCACACCGAGAAGGTTGCACTTCTCCACGCAGCTTGATGCCAGCCGTGAAGACACAGATGAAGACACTGGGGGCCACATGACTGTGGATTACTTCTGAGGTGTGCCGCTCACTGAGGCCTAGCCGACCAGCCAACACGGCTTCGTGCACTAACCAACCTCTAGGAAAAAAAAATACATACATAAATACATACATACATACATACATACATACATACATACATACATACATA